TACCTAAGACTGCAGGGACAGGCCTGAAACTTGGATCCATGGTGTCTGATCTGGTGCCAGGGGCCACTGGGCCAGGGTTGTTAATTGGGTCTGTGCAGTAGACCTGCCTGTGCCTGTAGGGGCTGGCCTGGTGCTGGGGTTCACTGGACTTGGCCTGGTGACTGGATCTGTGGAGATAGGCCTGAAGCCTGGGTCCACAGGAGCTGACCTGTTCATGTGACAGTGACAGGCCTTGAACCTTAATCTGTGGGGGCTGACCGTGGTGGAGTTGGCCTGTTATCTGGATCCATGGGGGTACGCCTGGTCTGAGGCCACAGGGGCAATCCTGATACTGGAGTCTATTGGGGCAGGCCTGGAGCCTAGGTCCATGGGCGCCAATATGGTACCTGGGTCTGTAGGGTCAGCATGGTGCTGGGTTGGGCAGCATGGAGCCTGGTGTCTGCATCCACAGGGGCAGGCCTGGATTCTGAGTCATGGTTTACCTGTAGGGGCTTTCCTGGAGCCTGGATTCACTGGAGAAGGCTGGTGCTTGGGTCTATGGCAAAGTTGGGTGCTCATTTCACTCTTCTTCCTCCCATGCAAAGGGTGTATCTCTCCACACTTCATTGCACAGGCTTGGGGAAAGGGTAATGCAGGTAGTGTGAAATTGTCCTTCTTATCCTCTTCAACGTATCTTTCATTTCTGTGCTCCACTCAAGTGCTGTATTAGATCATGTGAAGGCATTTTCATGTGTGGATGGTTGTTCAAATTGATGTTTCAAGGAGAAGACAAGTGCTGGAAACTCTATTCCACCATCTTACTGGTGTTACTACTCCAGTTCACTATTTTTGGTATGTGCACACTTGTATTATTTTTTTTCACATGCATGTTTTAATATTTATGACCACAAACAGTATGCAAAACAATTACAACACCTCAAGGAATTCCCTCATGCATCCCCTTTCTATTCAGAATATTCCCCCACCCCTAATACCTGGCAACCACTGATATATTCTGGGTACCTATATTTTCACCTTTTCCAGAATGTCATAAATGGAAGCATACAGTATGTAACTTTTTTTTAAACATCTTTATTGGAGTATAATTGCTTTACAATGGTGTGTTAGTTTCTGCTGTATAACAAAGTGAATCAGTTATACGTATACATATGTCCCCATATCTCTTCACTCTTGCATCTCCCTCCCTCCCACCCTCCCTATCCCACCCCTCTAGGTGGTCACAAAGCACCGAACTGCTCTCCCTGTGCTATGCAGCTGCTTCCCACTAGCTATCTATTTTATGTTTGGTAGTGTACATATGTCCATGCCACTCTCTCACTTTGTCCCAGCTTACCCTTCCCCCTCCCTGTATCCTCAAGTCCATTCTCTAGTAGGTCTGCATCTTTATGCCTGTCTTGCCCCTAGGTTCTTCTGACCTTTTTTTCGTTTTTTAGATTCCATATATATGTGTTAGCATACAGTATTTGTTTTTCTCTTTCTGACGTACTTCACTCTGTATGAAAGTTTCTAGGTCCATCCACTTCACTACAAATAACTCAGTTTCATTCCTTTATATGGCTGAGTAATATTCCATTGTATATATGTGCCACATCTTCTTTATCCATTCATCTGTTGATGGACACTTAGGTTGCTTCTGTGTCCTAGCTATTGTAAATAGAGCTGCAATGAACATTTTGGTACATGACTCTTTTTGAATTATGGTTTTCTCAGGGTATATGCCCAGTAGTGGGATTGCTGGGTGGTATGGTAGTTCTATTTTTAGTTTTTTAAGGAACCTCCATACTGTTCTCCATAGTGGCTGTATCAATTAAATTCCCACCAACACTGCAAGAGTGTTCCTTTTTCTCCACACTCTCTCCAGCATTTATTGTTTGTAGATTTTTTGATGATGGCCATTCTGACCGGTGTGAGATGATATCTCACTGTAGTTTTGATTTGCATTTCTCTAATGATTAATGATGTTGAGCATTCTTTCATGTGTTTGTTGGCAATCTGTATATCTTCTTTGGAGAAGTGTCCATTTAGGTCTTCGGCCCATTTTTGGATTGGGTTATTTGTTCTTTTGATATTGAGCTA